TTTTTGTCTCAACAAGAGAGAGATGATCTAGGATTTGTTCCTAAAGTCATGATGATTGAAGTTGATGGAATATCTTGGAGCCTTGAGGAAACTCCAAAAATATCCAAAGTGAAGGGTGATGCTTGTTGGCACTCATGCAACATGGAACTTGGAACTTTGAGGAAGTTCTAAGTGTCAAACTTGAAAGGTTTTCTAAGTCAATTTTGATATGATCTAGAGGACTTGGAAGATCTTAGAGATGCCCTAAAGATCGATTTGATAAGCTCTATCAAGAACCTAAGAATATGCATGCAAGATTCACCATTTTTTTTGTTTGAGATGTTTGATCATTTCAATTGCTAAACACTAATTAACTTGCAAATTTCATTGAACATGTTTATCAACTTCATCTCATACTTGTTTCATAAGTATTTGGAGATTTGATAAGCATGTTAGTAAATTTGCAAATCTTTAAATGCATAGCAATATAAAATATTTACTTCTATTCTTATTTTGCAAGACATTGTATACAAATTTAATCAATTATACTCTTTTTGTGGGATTTCAACATAAGCCTTGGAAGGTTAATGTGCAATCTCACAACATGAGAGGCTCACCAAATTGATTAAATTTGCCTCCAAATATTTGCAAAGCATCCAAAAAAAAAAATTTACAAGCTTCATCACATAAAAGAACTTTGCATTTACAAATTATTTTTGCAATCTAAGCTTTGAAATAAAGATGCATAAAACCAAATAAATTGAAGCTTGCAAACTCTTCCCTTTTTTTTTTATGTGTTAGAAGCATGGGCAAACATCTCTAATCCTAGAGATTTCATAAGTTGAAGTGCTCATTTGCTCTCATTTCCATGAGTTTCACAAGACACCCAAAATGAATTTCTAAAAGCTTTACTAATCCTAGGATTTGCAACATGAATCTTTGGAGATTCGTATGAAATCCTACAAGAAGTGTGCCATGAATTTGAAATCCATCTAAAAACGTATTTTGTGCATTCATGAAAGCCATGGATAATGTACAAGTTAGCAAATATGAAATCCCAAATTTTGTGTGAATTTCGTTGTGACACTTAATCAAGTGGGGAAACATGTCTCATGATGCAAAGAAATCTACGCCTCAACATTCGTTTTGGGAAGGGAGAATGTCACATAGCCTAAGGTTATTGATAGGTGGAAGTTTGGAAGACAATATGAATGCTGAAACATACACTTGAGAGGCATTAGACACAAATCCAACACTTCTACACGCATTAACATCCTCTACGGATTCTCACATGAGAACCAACAAAGAAAAATAACCAAATTTTCGCTGTTTTGCAAAGAGGACAGCCGTCAAGGGATTTTGGGGAACCAAAAATCAAAGTTTCTAAGGACCTAAAGCTTTGGATCGTCAACCACATTGCATTGGCTAGGGAGCCTTAAGGTTTCGCCTAAGTTTCAAAGGTATACCTTCCCCGGTTTGTCCTAGCGCTCCGATTTTCTGTCCAAGCTGTTGTCCAAGCTCCGCTCCAAGTTCTAGCTGCTGTCCAAGCTCCGGTTCAAGGTCCAAGTTGCTGTCCAAGAAGTTCCATAGGTCGCCGCTGCTGTCCAAGATGATTCGAACGCTCCAAACTACTGTTTGGAAGGTTTAGGAGCCTCCTTTTGCTGTTTGGAAGCTTCAAATAGTTTCCAACTCGCCTCGAGGTCGCCGGAGACGAAGGAGGAGGAGAGTGGAAGCGTTCTTTTGCTGATTAGAGGTTTCCCACAGCTTTCTCGACCACTACGAACTTTCCAGAGTTGAAGAAGGAAAGGTAGAAGCCTCCCTTCGGAAAGAAAGAAACACAAATCCCGGCCTGGATGAGGTCGGTGGCTCTGGGTCGGACGAGCTCACGTACAGGAGTCTGCGGCTTTAAGAGATTCAGCGAGTGGAGGAGGAAAGAAATCCTGGGAAGCTCGGTCGAAGGTCCAACGGGGTCGGGACTCGTTTCCGCGCGGCTGGAGGGGAACGCGGATAGGAGAAGGTCGCACGAGCGATTCCCCTGGACCAAAGTAGAGTTCCGCCTGGACTGGGCTTTTGCTCCGGCTCTCACACTCTCTTGCTCTCTCTCTGTCGGGGACGGAAGACACAGGAGAGGAGCCGCACAGTGAAGTCGCACGCGAGGTCCTTGCTTCCGCCTGGTGGAAACGAGTGCAGGGTATCGTCTTCCCTTTTCTCTCGCTCTCTCGCTCTCTCTGTCGCTCGCCCTCTCTGGATTGCCGAAAACGAAAAGGGGAGCCCGGGTCTTCTCTTCTCAATCTCCCGCTGCTTATGGGATGGAGACGCCCATCCCTACTCGAGTATTCGCCGCTGAATGGGACTTCTGCCGGTTTTTAATGATTAAAAAAAATGTTGTTTTTAATGATCATGAGATCGATGCAGTAATATAACACATGCAATATATAGATCTGTATTCATAAACGTTGCCTGCAGACAATAAATGATTGTTTCAAACGTGGTCTTTCAAGTGCAGGTGATAATCCAATTATCCTTTTCTAGCATTTCTTTATTAATTATGTGATAATCTCAATTAGATATTTAATATCTGCTGATCTATGATGTGTAGAGTAAAATATAAAATCATGAAAATCTCATCAGCAGCAGCCTTATCCTGCTATTTGGGGCTGCCTTTATGGACTGAGTTTTTGAACTCATTTTCCCTCAGTTCCATCAAGTGTTCATGTTGTGTAAAGTCTTGTTTATACATGGTTTCCCAATTCGTGTCAAAATGAGCTACAGACATAATCTAATTGATGGCATAAATCCAAATAAGTACCACATGGATTGGCTATCTTCTTATATCCATTACTATGTCAGGGTACTGCATAAAAAATTAAGACCAATCAAACAAAGGAAAGAGGAAAACCTTGAATTCCAAAATTACAGAAAATGGCATAATTGATTTTTATTAGGCCGGGTTATGTTGTGGTGCCCAGACTTCTAATGTTCAATACCTAGTACCATTGTAACATTTACAAAAGAAGGATAATTAAAATGAATAAAAGCAGCAATTTTTATGTTAAAGGTTTTTGCTTCCTGTCTTGAGATAATATAGTAGCAACAAATAAAGAAAATGAATGTGAAGAGATAACTCATCTCTTTAACTGTAGTGTTCAATTAAAGGAATAAAAGTTTAGAGAATATGTAACTGGAATACATCAAGGACTTTCATATATGCATTCCATATGCAAGCTAGAAAGGTTAAATCTGAAAAAGAATCGTCATATCATGCAGAAATGCCTTGTGTTATAAGCAAGTACTATGTATGATAAACAAGCTTTTGGTTGCCCAGTTTTAAACTTTTAATTAATTATCATTCCCTTTATTGCCAATGGATTTAACGTATGCAATGAGTATGAAAATTTGTTCATCTACATAAATTGTTTTATTCAGAAGAATTTTTAAGTTTATTCACTGAAGCAAAAAAGTTTACAAATTTCCAAGCAACAACAACAACAACATCAAGCCTTTGTCCCACTACGTGGGGTTCGGCTACACGAATCCTTTTTCGCCATTGTGTCCGGTTAAAAGTCAAATTCTCATTTAAATCTAATAAAGAAAGACCATTTCTAATATTTTCTAACCAAGTATTTTTAGGTCTACCTCTACCTTTCTAAGCATAAGTCAAATCTAATACCTCAACTTTCCTAACCGGGTCATTGGAAGGCCTCCGTTTAATGTGACCAAACCATCTAAGGCGACTCTCTCTAATCTTATCTTCCACTGGAGCAACTCCAACCTTTTCACGTATATGCTCATTTCGTATTCTATCTCTAAGGGTCAAGCCACTCATCCACCTAAGTATCCTCATCTCTGCAACAGTTAACTTAGTATTATGTTTCTCTTTTAATGGCCAACAAATTTCCAAGCAACCATAAGAAAAAATATCAACCAATGCTAAGCCAGTTTTATGACCTGGAATAGATAAACATGGTCAAAAAATAAAAACAATGTAAAACTTTATGGAAGTCTGCTTATATTATCTCTCATGTTTATGTCATGAATCCAAAATGCAGAAAAGTTGCTTAATGTTATTATGTTCCCAATAACTAACATGCCCATCAAATTACCAAAAATAGAAGGTGAATCATCAAATGGCAATAAAAATAGCTTTTATCACGAAATTGCAGGACATCAATAACTTTTATCCTGCAATATCACTAACTGAACAACACAAAGAAATCAGAATCATCAAATGGGAACACTAAGAGGATGCTGAAAAAAAAAAATTTCAAGATACAAACATACATATATAAAATCTTCTGCAGCTGCATTACGGGTAAGCAGACCAGCAGACAACCAAGTAGAATACCTGTACGCAAAGCCAAGGAATAAAGTCATCGTTCAATTGTCAAAATATTCAGACGTTTAAGGAAAGCTTTTGCAGATCTATAAACAAGTGAAAAGAAATCCAAACCTGACCTTGAAAGCAGCTGCAATGACAGTCGCAAGAACTTGTCTGAACAGGAAATAACAAGAACATCTTCACTCCAGCATAATCTTAAGCTTTCCAACAGCATGACACTTTGTTTCAATGTTAAGATTTGGAATTTTCCTTGATTGCTATACAAATTATCAACAGGAGTAACAGAAGCAGCCATAAGAGTGGAGTCCAGTGCCCCCGCAATTTCCTGGAATCTGTATAATTGTAGCACTGACTTAAAAATCATCTGATAGCATTTAAAAACATCAGTGATATAAAGTTCATTGTCTCAAAGTGTCAAACCTACCTTAAAGAGAAATAAACCCCAATATTCCACTGACGCATGAAGTCTACATAGACTGCCTGTAATCTGAATTTAGACACAGCGGATTTGGAAGAACAGTAACCTTCAATGAATAAATAACGGGCATTAATAAACAGTTAACAGCGGACGGAAAATATGTTTCAAATTGCCAAAGATGACAATACAAAATACAAAAACAAGGACACAAGAATAGGACGGTGTTGTAACATGATTGAACTCGAAGAAGCCCACATAGAAGAAAGTGCAGTAATGAAGAATATTGCTTGGCTTTCCATCCATTTCCTACAATCCTCCTACTGTCCAAATATGATGAAAACCATACCACAGGACCTTTTTTAGCTTTACCTTTGTCCCATCGTATCTTTTATTTACTAAGAAAATCGGAAAATGCTTTCCCCAGATTATTCATCTAAATGGACAAGAAACAACTCGTAATTAAGTCACTTCCCCTAGTTGCGTTGCTTCGCATGAAAGAGGGATTCAACTTTCTATTGTACACTTAAAGAGTTAAATAGGGAAGAACACAAAAGCACCCAACCAAGCAAATGCATAGACTTGCATTTTTGTCCTTAGCCTCAAGTAATGCAAGACGAGCTCATTCCAAAAACAAACTCATCGCTTTGGCATATTAATATTATAAAATCTGTATTGTGTTCTCTTCTTCCATCACTATCAGCAACCCATCCCTTCTTTCCATCACCAGCAGCAACCTATCCCTTCATCCACCACCACCAGCAACCTAACCCAACCAGCCAACCCAAACAAAAAACCACGTAACACAAGCTCATAATGCATTTACATGATTCGTCTTCAATGAAATAATTTTCTAAGAAAACTATTTACAGTGCCACAAAATTGAGATACAAAACTAGAAAATCATACCTTCAAGATAGGCCAAAAACCCTAAGCTTGACTTGTAATTTTTCAGAAATTCTGTAGGTTTTCCAGGAGAGAATGCACCTGGTTTTCCTTTTTGAATGGCTAAAAGAACTTCTTTAAGGATCGAATTGGCGAGGAAATCAAACACATGCAACCCTGAGTTTTCTGGAAAGAACAAAAGGACTAATGAATCTGATGACCAAGGAAAAAGTGGCTATAAAATGAATAGAAGGGAAGAATATATAATAACCTATAGAAGAAATATCCAATATAAACTTGCAATCACTCTTGATAGACTGCCTTATCTTTTGATAGTACTCCTCCAACTCATCCGAGGAACTCCCATCGATGATCTGAGAGTGATTGTAAGGAATAATTTTCTGAATCAAGGGGGTCACAATAACTATTCGAAAGATCTCTTCAGCTGCTGTTGTGTTATCAATAGCAGCATATGCACGTAAGCAATTGTAAATAGCATCGTCATCATGATGCTCAAGGCCATCTTTAAAACAATTTCCTAAGCTATGATCTAGCAGTTCAGTAGCACTTTGGATTCGCTTCTCCAAGTTCACAATAAAAGGAAGATCCTGCACTGCCAGAATTTAGAATGGAAATTAAATATCAAAAGCATCCGATCCTCCAAAAAACATGTCCATTATGAATATGCTAAGTAAAGCAAAAAATAGGGGACGATTATTGAAGGTAAAATTTAATGTGATGGCTCAAAAAGCAAAGAATGAAAATAGGCCGGGTTACCAAGGCATGTGGGCAGTGTAGGTTGCTTCGAATTTTTCTAATTAAATATTTGTGGAGAAAATCCATTTTTTTCAGGAAATTAAAAAGAACAAAAAAATTCAATCCATCACCATTTGGGTGGCATGATTTTATCTCAAAAAATATTTCTCATTGGATTAGCAACAACCTATTATACGCTCCTAGATTAATCTTGTTTCTAAAACTCATCAATGCTTCAAAAAGCAGAGATCATGCCCAAAATTCTCATTGCAACAATATGATTTGTGCAATTCCTACTCTACACTCTTTAATGTTGACACTTGTCCTTGAGTTTTAAGATAAAAAGTTTTAGCAGAGGTCCTGGCATTCTCAGATATGGTAGAACGCTAAGAACAGGACTCAGCACAAAAATAAGTAGCCAATCAATAAAGTAATCATGGATAGCAAGTGTTTAACTTAAAGGAAACAAGGGTAAACATTTTCATTAAAGCATTGCAAATGAATATGTGCTGGGGTAATCCTCTGTTTCCAAATGGATGGTACACTGCATAAGGTTAACAAAATGGATGAAAATATGAGGGAAGTGCTTTATTGGCATCTTCAACTTCTTGCAAAGCAGCAATATATCATAAATCACTCAATGTTAATTTACTTCAGCTCTGCAACCTCTTTCTAGAAAATCACAATTGGATTAGTGCTAAGCAGCAAAATAATTCAAACTTTGAGAATAACACCTAAACTTAGGATGATATAAAATTTTTAATGGTCACGTATTTTTTTTAATGCTTAGGGTTCAAATTTAGCATGTAAATTTAAGATACAATTTTCAGTGGAAGTAAGAACCTTTGCATTACTGATAGAGAATTTTATCCTATTCATCTCACTAGCAATTCTTTCCAGAAGGATGCTTTGGGTCACTCTGAAGTTGGTTCCATTTTCTGCAGGATGCAAAGAATTCTCATTACTGAGAATTCCCTTTTCCACATGAACTAGATCTGCACCTGGTCCAATAGACACTGTGATCGGTAACTCCTTGATGAGCTTCTCAACCTACAAAATAGTGCAATTTTCAATATGTTCAAATATTTAGATATATCACATGGTGAAAAGTTTCTCAAACAATCAAACAGCCAAAATATATTAGCATAAAATGTCAATATGAACACAAAAACATAACCATAAAGGACTACAGAATTTTAGCATATGGGATTTCTGTTAAAGTTGTTGCTTCCAAAAATCCCATTATTCCAATTAAAACTATCTATTTAGAGGTTGAAAGTATCATTTTTATGAAGTTATATTTGGTAAAGTTTCAACTTAAATGGAACTACAAGCCAAATAATTCCAAATCTATAAGTATCATTTTAGAGAAACTACTAAGCTAGACCCTAAACATTGGATGACTACATGCTTCTTAATTCTCTTCATAGGAGTTCTTTGTATCCCAGAGGCGTTGATGTGGTATAAGCCAAATCAATCAAAAAAAATATCCATGTAGCAACATGCTAATTACAAGAAGTCACACCATATCATAACAGGCCTAAATTGAATCCATTTTCAATTCTTTTTAAACTCATTTTATTTAAGGACAACTTTCTCAAAAAAATTTAATTGGAATTATTTTATTAGTTTTTTTTTTTTCAATAAGATGATACATGGATGACCAAAGAGGAACTACAAAAAAGCTAGCCCCTAAACCATTGGATGCTACATGGATCTTAACTCTCCAAAGGAGAGTTCCATGCACCATAGAGGAGTTAATGTGACACAAACAAAATCAGGACAAAAAACCCGAAGAACTCCCATCAATGGCTAGTTACAAAAAAGCTAAACCAGGCTATAGCGAATTTGAATCAAACTCCTTTTAAAGCCTTTTTAATCCCACTTTATTTATGGTCAAATTTCTTGGAAAAAATGTAATTTTAATTCTTTTATTATTTTTAATAGGAATATGTTTAAATCAAAATGTTTGTTAGGTTTTGATAAAATTACATTTGCATTTCAATATTTGGTCTTATCCTTGTAACCCATATTTTCTATAAAAAGGGATTTGTAAATGAATTATTATTGATGGATGATAAACAAATAATGATTATATGCATTGTCAATTCAGTCTCATGAGATTCAATTTGTGTATATGAATTACTCCAAGTTGGGTTTACCATTTTAATAAGCACAACAGCACAGCAGTAAAAAAGATAAAAGGGGTCTCGAATAACTAAGAGACATCAACTTTGCATTATTTTTTTAAAGAGAAACTTCTTCAAAATTCAAAAATCTTGTTTATCCTCCATGAACCACAATGTGCAATCCATATTTTAAAGGAGAAAAGACCATACCAAATCTAGTGAATAATAGGAAGGTGGAAGAGGAGGAAGGAGAGGCTAAACATGATAGGTGGAAACTGGATTTTGACTTTCTAGAATGTTCGCATTGACAAGATATGAAATTTATTCATCAACAGCTTGAGGCAGCATCCAATATACAATTTACAAGCATATAGCATATATTTTAGCGCCACTAATCATGGATATAGCGGGATTTTGTGGGTAGAATAGCCTTTCAAAAGTTCTGCCAGTAAAAGTGATAAATGGTTAACCACGCAACCAATTCCAGACCAGATCCACAAACAAAAGCATATTGATCAATGAGTTGTACATTGGATCCAGAAACTGCACGCTCGTTAAAAGATGAGAATGTTACTAGGGTTACCTTGGAAACAACATGGAAGGTGTCAAGCAATCTTTCGAGCATCTCCCGAGCAGCCGACGCCTCCGCTCGCTGGCGGAGCCCGCTGCGGAGTGAGGAGAGAGAATTTTCAACGGCGATGCGGAAGGCTCCAGCCTTGTCCCGGAATTCGACGAGTGGAGCACGCATGCGAGCGACGGAGGAATCGACGTCCACAAGGCGAGTGCTTAGGCTGACGAAGTCGGTGTAATCGCGGTTAATAAGCTCGACAAGCTCGGACTTGAGGGTGGCAAGGTGAGAACGGAGCTCTGCCCCGAGGCTTTCGAGGGGAACAAATGTACGGAGGTCGGCGATGTATGACTCGGGATCGAAGTCGGCGCGGAGAAATGAGGATTTCTTGAACCATAAAGGCTCGGAGTCGCCGGACGGGTCGCCGAAAAGCTCGACCGCCGAGCGGGAAGGTAGGGACGGCGAGCGGTGATCCACCATTCTCCCCCCACTTCCTTCCTGGGGATCAACGCGCCGTCACAGCGACGGGTGATGGTTATAAGTTATATCAAGCACATTAGTAAATGTTGGAATAAATTATGAGCAATGAGTTTTATCGCATTGCAAAGGAGTTTAATGATGTTTAGGGGTATCAATTTGGGTCAAGGGGTTGGGTTAGGATCAAATTCAATTTGATTTGAGCATAAACGGTTTGATCCAAATCCAATCTGTTTAGCTAAATGGGTCAGTATTCCTAATCCTTACCCGACCTGCACGGGTTGTCGGGTTGACCCGACCTGACCTGCAAACTTGCAGGCGCAATTTTGAGTTGCGAAATAAGGGTGAATGGCGACTGGGCTAGGCGTCATCGTTGGCGAATGGCGACTTGGCTGACCGGCTGAGAGCTTAGGCCTTAGGGGTGTAGGTCCTGGGCGTCGATACATCCTGGGCGCCTGATAGGTAGACCAGCGGAGGCAGATCCTGCCATAGGCAGGAGGCAAGATGCGTCGTCGCCGGTGGAGGCTGGGGCGCAGTCGGTGGAGGGCCTGGAGGCTAGGGAGTCGTCGACAGTGGAAGCTAAGGCACGGTTGCGAGTCGCGAAACGAGGGTCACAGCTCATGATGCTAAGTTAAGATGTCAAATTAGCAAGTTAGTCGGGTTAGCCGGGTTGACACTCGGGTTTTTGGGTCAACCCAAACCCAACCCGTTTTTCATACGGGTCAAAAATTCAAACCCGGAACTGATCCGTTTTACAAAACGAGTTGACCTAAACCCAAAATTTTTCGAGCCAGGTCCGATCAAGTTTTGGGACGTGCTAACTTTTGACACCCCAACTGATGTTAGAGCTTGAATTTGATTAATTAATTATTTTTTAGCTCGAGGTGTATTCTATGAGGTTATGTTGGCTTATGAATCAGCTATTTTATTTTAAAAGAGGGGGAAAATGTTTATGATTCAAACAATTATTATAATAAAAATTTAAAAATGATAAATTTGATGAAAAATAATGAAGAACCACTTAATATAAGAAAATGAGATCTAATTAATAAATATTTTTAATAAATTTGTGATTAAAATTCAGAATACTAATATATCTTAAGTGCATATATATTCATATTTTTAAACAAATTGGCTAGCAAACTAATGAGCCAATTCAAGGCTTACTCAAACTAGGCTCATTGGCTCATAAAGCTCGGCTCATAGGCTTATAAAGTTCGGCTCATGAGCCATTTACTGTATCTAGATTGAGCTAGCTCACAAGTCGGCTAAACTCACTTACACCTTATTGTTATAATCCGAGCCAGACAGAACCGATCTAGTATTCCTTCTTCACGTGAACCAGCAGACAACAAACTGCTCCCCTATTCGCACAAGCCAGCCACCTCGACTCCTCCTTCGCCCGAATCGTAAACAAACTGCCCTTGCCCATCATCTCTCCCTTCAAATTGCAATTTCTTCCCATATTTGACGTATTCTCCCAACTCTCTCTCTCTCTCTCTCTCTCTCTCTCTCTCTCTCTCTCTCTCTCTCTCTCACACACACACACACACACACACACATAAACACACACCATTTAAGGCGAATTGGAATCTAAGGCATCATTTTTCTCCTCTTTTCTCCCTCATAGTAGCCACCGAAAGTCTTTCTCCCTCTCTCAGCCTCAAAACCTCTTTATTATCCCACCTTTTTGTTTATTCCCTATGAATAGCGACCATTGTTGGCAAATAAGATCCCTCCATCTTCTAACTCCTCAAGCAAGTCTCCCTTATTTCTCTTGGATCAAGATTGAGTCTTTCTCCTCCCTCCTTCCCTGTCGATCAAAGTTGAGTAGGTGATTATTTTTATCATTTTTTTATTTATTTTGTTGTTTTGATGTTTAATTGGAATTGTGGTGTTATATCTTAATTAACGACACCTATATAGTTTTGTGCTTTTATTTGTGTGGGAGTCTTATGTTTCATATATAAAATTAGAGACTTTATCCTATTAGTTTGTATATTAAATTAGGGTTCTTATTGTAAGGATTTTGGAGACGTTGCCTTCATAGCCTTGTCAATTCAATATTGGATAGGCTTGGAGTTTCATATTGCTCCCCTAAAGGTAAGTATTATTATCTATTTATGAGTAAGCGTACTATTATTAGTTAGGGGTGTAATCCGTGCCAGTTGTAGTAGTTTCGCTTGTAACTATTTAGATTGTCAATTCTATTTTGAATTCTTTAGCATAATTACATGTAATAAATCTTTTCAATTGTTCATATCAAATCATCATGTAATAATCATAACTTTACTTGATTTATTGCTCATTAGTTCTTAATCATGTATGCTAAATTATATGTTAGAAAAGTTAGATTTATGTAATTTAGCTTAGTTAAATAAATTAGTATCATTCCTGCAAACCATACTTGACATGTTAATTTATATATGCATATTGGTTATTAATAAAAGTGTTGATCATGTATAATTGTATGTATGTCGGTATAACCTTATTAGTTTTCGGCTAGCCGGGGTAGACGAGCCCCAAAGTGACAACTCTATAGGAAATCACTGGATTTGCTTGGGTTTGTGTTTACCTTCTTGGTGATGGGTGCATAATAAATCAATAATAATTAAATATACATGAAAATATAAGTGGATATGAATTGGAAATAAGATATGACTTACAGTCATTGTGAGGTACATGGATACCTATTGTGGTGCATTTGTAAATATTATAATAATTTGGCATCAATAGCTATTTAATATATATACATTAGAAGATGTAGAAAACATAGCATATCTCATAACAGTTTTTTATATAGTGATTATAGGCTAGTTTTCTCCTCTTTTGATTTTTCATATTGCATGCCCCACTCCTTTAGCATTTATGGTTTGATAGATAGTAGTTACTTGTTGAATTTGACTTATTTGTTATTTGAACTTCTATTAATGGATTGGCTTTATTTCACTTCCTCTAGTTACTCTGATATATATATTCTCTTTATGAAAATAGGTTTTCTTATCCCTCGGTTGCGTCCCGTATTATCAAAGTTATCGCCTTCCAAACCCTGGGTGTGACACTTATATCCTATAGAAGTACTTTAATCATATTTTTATTGTGATACTTGAATGAAGAGAAATAGAGAATATTGGTCAAATATAGATAAATTATTGTTAATCATTATTCTTCTAGATTTGCATTACTAAGATTTTTTATTGTGGTTTGATTATAGATTGCAACTTAAGCTCATACAATAAAAGAACAGCCCCAAAAGTTATGATACAACAAAGCTTATTTTTGTAATTAAATCAATAGTTATAACATAAAGAATGAATTATAAGAAAAAATCACAATGGTTGTAATATAGACTTCTATAAACATAGAGCATATTATAAGAATTGAAAACATAAGTCATAGCTTAGAGAGTAGATTATAAGAAATCAACATTATATAGCCATAACATAGTTCTATGAACACAGAGAGCATATTATAACAATAATATAGTGCATTTTTTTGTAAATTTATGCAAATTCATAACATATATAACTTTCATAATATATAAAACTTTAAATATCCTCAATGCTCTCCCCCCAAGAACTTAGCTCATTCCTTCCTCATGCATATACTAACTTTAAAAGCTCAATACCATAGTTACACTACATATCCATTTATAGTGTATTGAAATAGGGTGAAATAGGGTATTCAACTTTAGGACAATAGCCTCTAGTGCATTATATTCTCTTCAACCCTTATAGTGCTCTTACCCATGACATCCTTCCCTAGGGGTATCTAAAAATACGTCCTCGTCTTTAACCATAAGAAGAATTTCAATAATGATAGTATTTTATTTATCATAGTTTAGGATAACACTATTTATAAAAGTAGTAAAACCCAAGCCTTTGCATAAGCATATTTATTAGCATACTTCATGAAAGCAATCTCATGATTTATCTTCTTGAAATTCATTTCCCCATCTAAGTAGCCATTTAGCCACTTGCTACTTGTTGTCATCCTCTTGAACTCTCATCAGATGGGAACTCTCCAAAACTTAGCCCGATCATTAAAGCAAAGTCAAAAATCCAGAATATTGTGCTCTTCTCTCCAATGTTAAGCCTAATAATATACTAATCATTATCATAATCATCAATCATCATAAGTAACATTTAATGTATGAGGGAACCAGATAATTACATTTTAAAAGCTTTGAGAAAGTGCTCAAGGTGGGTTTTCTTGGCCTGAACAATGAGGTCGTTAACATCAATATGTCTAACTAGTTTCTTCATAACACCTCCCCTATGTGTGACCTGAGCACTACAATGCCTCTCAAACAGTAAGATAAGAAAAGCTATCTACATACATATGATGATAATTCAAACAAGTCATGTAATACTTTTAGAAGCAATACAGAGTTGTACATGTTCTAACCCAATCTAGTTAGAGTAATCTATTAAAATTTTTACATTTACAAATATTGCATATGTCTGTGAGTGTTATATATACACGTGGATGTATAAATATGTTCTAAAGCGAGTCCCAGAGGTTTGTGTACATGAATGAAAATTTTGAAAATTTTTCTTTAGAAGTGTTGTGGTGTCGGGGTGGCGGAATTGCTACATCATTAAGCTCTCATATTTTTTTGATTTGGACTAGCGCAGTGGCTACGTGGTACTAAGATAAATTAAAAAATATATATAAATTTTCACTTCTATTCATTTTAATTAAAATAAAAAACCCTTAGAGAGAGAGAGAAATTTTATAAAGAAAGTGTGTTCTAGCGACTGATTTATTTTTAATTGTTGGCCTAGATCTAAAAGTAATTTGAATTAAGGTATGTTATATTTCACCTATCTTAGTTTTAAAAAACACAAAAAAAATTATGATTTTTCATATTTAAGTTTTAGACACAACTATTTTGCATATTTAAGTACTTTTTTTAAAAGAATTTCACTAGATAAATTAAAAAGTGCATTATTATTATCCAATTAAAAAATAACTATGATCCAATAAAATAACATTAAAGCTTTAAAATGGAGTTTTGAACAATCTCTAATAACCTAGTGAAATTTTGAAACTGTGAAATTTTTCTTAGTAGTTAAATTT